ATGCAGACAGCAAGGATTGTCTGATTCCAAGATTAACAAAACACCATAGGTCTTGCTCATGGTGTAACAGCAAATTGGATACCATTATTGAAGATGAAATTCAAAAGTGATACCACCCTATACCCTGTTTCTACTGCTAAAGTAAGGTAAACAGTGGGCAGTTATCTGATGCATTGCTAATTGCCTCTCCGTTTTTCCAGCAGGTTAGATTCATTAATTAGTTAGGAGTATTTCCCTGAATTTAATCTTGCTGGTCTTGATTCTTCCTTTCACAAAGACTGTTGAAAATAATCTTTTTTCGCCTTACAGACTGTCAACTATTTTAGGGATTAGAAGCCACTTTCTTGTTACCAAAGAAGTAGAATTTTAAAAGAAAAGATGTCTCTGATGTTACACAAATTTATATAAAATTATGGGAAGAAGTCCTTCTAGCCTCAAATCATCTGATTTCTGTGTAATTATGCTCTTATTAAGGTTGGTCTGAACATCCTAAACAGTGGTATTAGAGGAAGCATCTCTAATAATTGTTCTTAACTGCATGCATAGTGATCATTGTTCATTGACAACTTATTTATTGGAAATAAATTACATTTAAGGTCTGGGATAGGTTGTGGGAGATGATTCAAATATTAGTGAGACAGTTTTTGTTTTAATTGGGAAATATTTTTAGCTTAATTGACGTACAAGTGAATTCCATCATGTTTTCCTTTTGGGGTTTCAAAATCACTGCTGGGACGCTATTAGGAACACAATGAAACACAGTTGTTCAGCACCTAATATGTGCTAGGTACTATGCTAGTTTGGGTCTTCAAAGAAGACTAAGATTTTATCTTTGTTATTAAAGATAGAAAGACCCAGGCAGGCTGTCATAGAAGGATAAAGGCATGAGAAGGGCTGCAGGAACATACCTCAGACACTAATCAACAAAAAAGAAAGTGTAGGTATAGCATGTTTTATGCTAGATATAAAATTCCACATTTGTTTAAGTAATTAATTTTTGATTTATTTTTTTTTGATAAAATATAGTATAGTAAAGCTAGAACACACTTTGGAGACCAGTACAAAGGAATTAGAATTCTGGCTCTGGCGTATGGTGGACCAAAACAGAAACCTCGGAATTTATTTATTAAAAAATTATGTATTTTTCCTTACATGTTTAAACTTGAGTTGCCTTCAAAGTACTCTCCATTTGATGCAGTGCACCTATGGAGATGCTTTTTCCACTGCTCAAAATGGTTTTTGAACTTGTCAGTGCTGATGCCTTTCAGTGCTTCTGCTGTTTTTTGTTTCTCCTCTTTCACATCTGCAAAACATTTCCCTTTGAGGACTTTTTTCATCCAGGAAAACAACAACAAAAAGTCTCCCAGGGCAAGTTTGGGTGAATAGGGCAGATGGGATATGGGAGTCATGCTGTTTTTTGTCAAAAGCTGTTGGACAGTCAGTACGGTGTGGGCAGGTGCATTGTCATGGTGGAAGAACCAGTCACCTGTTTGCCACAACAAAATTCACTGAAGCCAAACGCAGCCTCTCAGAACAACGCCAGCTGGTACACTGGTGCCAATGGTTCCTGTAATACCAACTAGCTAGAAAGCCTATACTACAAGGGGGCCACCCTTCAAAATATAATTCTGCTCATTGTGTGTGTTTCCCCAGTATACTATTTAGCTTCTGTAAGCTGAGTTTCCAGATCCATAATGTTCTCATCAATAGAGCACCTTTGAAGTGTGTTGGTAAGAATTAGATTAAATAACATATGGGAAGAGCCTAGTGGCCTATCTGGCACACAACTGATCTTCTATAAATTGTAATTATTGTATCTCTGCTTATCTTTGGAAAATGTTCATCCCCTGTGAGTGGTTACAGACATACCTGCCTGTTGATCTGTCTGCTCCGCATCCCCATTGCCATTTCTCTACTTCAGGCCACCATCATCATCTCTCAGCTCGACTCGTAAGGAGACTTACTTGTAAGAGCCTCTCTTCTGCCTCCCCATAATTGATTGTCCATATGACTGCCAGATGATTTTGTAAAAAAATATAATTCATTCATATTAATAATTCCTTAAACACCCTCAGTGGCCTCCCAGTGAGTATGGGATGCAAAGCAAATGTCTTACTGCAGTCTACAAGCAAAGACAGGGATAGACTGAATACCAAAGGAAGAAAGCTCAAGAAAAGAACATAGGAAAGATGACTGACCTCCGTGTTTGCTTGCTAGGGCTGCCATAACAAAGTACTAGGTGGCTTAAACAACAGAGAATTTATTTTTTTCACAATTCTGGAGGTGACAGAGTGTCAGTAAAGTTGGTTTCTTCTCAGCCCTCTCTCCTTGGCTTATAGATGACCATCTTCTCTTTGTCTTCACTTGGTCTCCCCATGTGTGTGTCTGTATCCTAGTCTACTCTTATGAGAGAGACACAAAGACCCACACACACATTTTTCAAGAATCGTTGACAGTTAAGGGCAGTGGCTCACACCTTTAAGTCCAGCACTTTGGTAGGCCAAGGCAGGACGATTGCTTGAGCCTAAAAGTTCGAGAGTAACCTAGGCAACATATTAAGACCTGTCTCTACAAAAAACAAATCAGTAGTTCCAGCTACTGATGAGGTTGGGGCAAAGGATCACTTGAGCCCATGAGGTCAAGACTGTCATGAGTCATCCATGATTATACTGCTGTACTCCTACCTGGACAGCAGAGTAAGACCTTCCCCTTTCGACTCCAAAAAAAAAAAAAGAATCATTGAGAAAGTAGCCTGTTATAAGAATTTGAAAATACTCATTATGATTATGGAATCATTATAACTACAAGAATTAATATACCCCCACACATCTTAAAATAAATATATAATGAAAAATATCATTGGCCTATTTTTACCCTCTCTTAGACTCCCCCACTCCCTTGGAATACCTATGGTATTAATATTTTATAGGACACAGTGTTGTCAATACTATTCTGGAAAACAGAGCAACACTCTAAACCAGAGAAAACTGAAAAGCCTTGCCTAGGAACTTGTTAGGAATGCAAACTGTCAGACCCGTCTGTGCCTAGGACAGAATCAGTATGCCTGGATGTGGCATTCAGCAATCTGTGTTTTAACATGCATTTCAGGTGAGTCTGGTATAAAGTTTGAGAACCACTGCCCTAAACTGATCTTCAGAGTAGCTTTTGATTTCTCAAGAATCTTGTCCAGTAGCCCGGTTGTCAGCACATAATCAACCTCAGGTTTTCCTTTTCTCCTCTTGCCCTGACTTGCAGTGACATAGTGTTTCTGCTTTTAATACTTTTGCAGTTGTCCTTAAGAAACGGACATGGTGATTTTTCCCACTCTTGAACCTGTTTGAAATTGCTAACTTCTGGGGCTCAGCACACATTAACTGCTTCCTGGATTATCTATTTCTGGAACAATTTGGCTTTAATAAGCTCATTACTACCATTTTTTTGGTTGTTTCTAATTTTTCATTCAAATAAAAATCCGATTAACTTTTCTGCTTTCCAATATATACAGTTTTTTTTAAAAAAAATTAAAACTCATGATAGAACAGCCTGATTTAGACTTTTTCTCTCACTTTACTACCCAAGGCTATATTTTTCTTAGGATGCTTATTCAATAAAGAATTTTCTCATTCTCCCTCAAGCCATCTTTCTTTATGTGGCTCAATCTTCATTCTTTAGAGTAAGAAATATTTGGAGTTATTTGTAAGAGCATTAAGTGATACCAGCTGCTCGTTTGCCTTTTTTGGCATAAATCCAATTTCCCAACCATTAGCCAAGGAAGATTATCCCATCCTTGATAACAGATGTTATTCTTTCTGGTTATGGACTATCTAGCCCCTAGCCATACAGTGTTATAAACCTTTGTTTAAGGAAAGGATATTCAAGGGAGCAACAATTTTAAAATATTTGTATTAGTAATAAAATGCTATATTACCTATAGTAATAACTACTATCATTATTGAACACATTATGTTTTAGAGCCTGAGACAAGTGATTTGCACATATTATCTCAGATAATACTCATCAAGATCTTTACCTATGAGGATGCATGACTTGGCTAAGGTCACCCAACTAGAAGATGTTAGAGCCAAATTTAAACTTCGGAATTCCTGATTGTAAACACTGTGCTAAACCCAGACTATACGAAATCCAGGTTGTGTTCCTTTGTCTGAAATCTGTGTCAACCAATGTGTCATCATGTTTCTACCTTTTTTGTCTTCCAGGACACCCATAAACTTGTTGGTGAACTAGTCTTATTCACATGTAGAAAAGGACTCTCAGTAGTGGCCATTATCAAAAGCAATGGGAAACTCACATGGAATGAGGACTTTCATGAAAGAGTCAATATGTTCAGCATCTTTTTTCAGCAATTTCATTTGATCTCTATCAAAATCTTGGTTGGTGCTATTGTATTAAATAACTTGTCCAAGGTCTTACAGCTGGTAGATGCCAGAGCATGAATAACTGGGACTTATAGGAGAGTTTGTCTTTGATCCCAATCACCAATGGATAGTGCACCTATTGTTAAAGGTGACATGAGTCATTTTTAAAATTATTTACCAGTGTCCCAAACTCTCCAAAGATGCTCTTTACAGCCATTAAGTTTTTCTCCTCTTCACTCCTGTGGCTACATGTCCGCTTTTTTAACAGCTCACTTCTTTATAGTGGCAAATCAGATGATGCACTATAAAATATCACAAAGGTTAAAAGCTTTTGTGTCTCTGCATTGCCTTTTGTAACAGTGTCCGAGGGTGATGTATGTTTAAGGAAACAAGGTTCTTGGTAAGTAATTGGGGTTTCTTTTTGCCTGCAAGTAGACATTGTTTTATGGTTTTGTTGCGCTTTGGTGTACATTTTTTTGGTAGAGATTCATTATCTCACTAAAATTCAAGGTGCTTGTAAAAACATGATATAACTCATCTGTATTGACCCTTTAATTTTTTGAACCTCCTAGCCTGTAAAATTGGTCATTACTTTTTCACACTTATTTACTTCATACCTACCAGGTCCTGTTACAGAAGTGAAAACTGACATATATGTCACCAGCTTTGGACCTGTTTCTGATGTTGAAATGGTAAGTATTTGGGAAATTTAATGTACCTTTTGAGATTTGAAGGACATGAATGTTTAATATTAGCATGCGTTAATATTTATTTTGTTGTTAATCACACTAAGCTAGAGAGGCAAAGAATTGCCTAATAAAACTTATAAGTATAGAAGGACTAAGACATTGAATTTGATTTTCTGCTCTAACATTTGAGTATTTGCTGATTTGGTGTCATCCTCAATGAAGGGAAGACCGTTTTTCTTACTAGTCCCTATATAACAACCTTGTATGTAGTTTTTGATTTTTGTTTTTTCTTTAAGATACTATTGAGGAGGAGAAAATTAGAGATTACAGTTAGTTTGGGTGTGAACTGTGAACACTGTTTTGTAGTTGTCCTTACTTTGAGTATTTCATGTTGGCCCAATTGCTTGCTGCCCACCGAGCCCCTTGACTTCCCTCTCACACATGCTTCCAGAACTTAGAATATCAAGCACAAACCAGGAAGAGTTCATCCATTCTTAATATAAGATAGTTATGGTAGCTTATATTAAATATATTTAATTCACATGACAAAAAACCCTACTTTACTTTTTTCCTTGGCTCAAAGCTCCTGGTGATTTGAAATCCTTGAGTTATTTCGCAAATTTTAAGAAAACTTTGTGAAAATAAAATGTATCACTTACAAATTTTCTTTGTCTTAAAGCAGTGTCTATAGTTGTATGGTTAATTATGCAGTGATATTTGTAACACATTAACTGATTTTTACTATCTGGCCTAAAGTAAAACATACTGTAATTGCCTGGTGCTGGTAGTTTTGTTAAATTATAGTAATGCATTCTTAAATAATTAACACATGTGGTAATTTATTTATTTTACGAATATATCAAGGTATCAAGATGGAGATAAAACACTCTTATTGCTAACAATCTTTTTGCTCCATTAATTTAAAATCATTTCTGCTCTTGTCAATTTTATTTGGGGTAGCCTTTTTATGAGTGAGAAGGTAGTTAGAATTTAGTGCATTATTTCTGCATACTTATGTGTGGTCATTTGTGACTTAAATATGTCCCAAACTAATTTCTCTAGGAATACACAATGGATGTGTTCTTCAGACAGACATGGATCGACAAAAGACTAAAATATGATGGCCCCATTGAAATTTTAAGATTGAACAATATGATGGTAACAAAAGTATGGACCCCTGATACTTTCTTCAGGAATGGAAAGAAATCTGTCTCACATAATATGACAGCTCCAAATAAGCTTTTTAGAATTATGAGAAATGGTACTATTTTATACACCATGAGGTAATAATTTATTTTCTTTTCCCTTCTTGCTTTTTTGTCCTTTTTTCTCTCTTCCTTCCCTCTCTTCTTCCCTCCCTCCTTTTCTTCTCATTTTAGGATCTATAAAATTATTTTTAAGAAAGAGCTGATTATTTAATTGCACTTTTTCATCATAGACTCACCATCAGTGCGGAGTGTCCTATGAGATTGGTGGATTTTCCCATGGATGGTCATGCATGTCCTTTGAAATTTGGGAGTTGTAAGTTATAATCAAAATGTTTTTAGAATTTATAATAACCTCATGCAAGCTGATATTTATATGTGTATTTGATTTTTCATAATCCAATGTTTAAATCATTGTCCATGACAAGTAAAAAAGCTGTCCAAGATTTGATTTTTTAAGGATACTTTATTAACTAATATTTTAAAATAAAGAAACAAAAGCAATCCCCTTTCTTTATGGAAAACAAAAAGCTATTTAGACAGATAACCTGGATAATCTGAATTATAATTAATTGGTGGTCACTGATGAAGTTTAGGGATATCTGGTAGTATGACATAGGAAGTACAAATATTTTGTGTGTGTGTGTGTGTGTGTGTGTGTGTGTGTGTGTGTGTGTGTAAGAGAAAGAGAAATTTGGTAATTTAAAAGTTTCTATTCCAAAGAAGGCTCGAGGCTTCCTGATTAAAAGCAGCACCTTTAGTATAAAAGTGGCTGAAGCATGACAAAGCAATAATAGGAAGTGTGGTCTGAGATAATGCGGGGCCTTGTAGACCACTTAGGAGTTTGGATTCTGTCTAAAGGCCAAGGGAAGGCTTTAGAAGGCTGTACAAAAGGGTATGCCTTTCTTTGATTGATTGATGTTTCACAATTTCACATTAGCTTTTCTATGTGGAAAGGATCCTGGAGAGGCTGGAATGGAAGCAGGGGAGAGATGGAGGCTGTTGTTGTTTTTTAGACTGCAGTGACTTGGACCAGGGCGGTACTAGAGGAGAGAGTGTGAAATTAGATGCGTTGTGTTTGGGAAATTTCATAGAGATCAAGGCAAGAGGATGAGATGAATGGATAGGGAAGGATATGAGATTCCTTTTCTCAAGTTCCCTTCTCCGAGATGGTAGCAAAATGTGATTGCCTTTTCTAAGGTCTGCCTCAAATTTTCAATTCAATCAGAATCTACCAAAAATAGACGCTGGCTTTTACTATTGCTTCAGATTCTTAGTCGCACTGATTGTGAAACTGTTGCCTGCTGTTCTCCTCCCTCATTGCTGAACTTAATGAGAATCGGCAGTCACCATTCTTTTTATAACCCTTAGTAATCACAATATTCAGTGGGCTAACTTGAAGCCAGAGAAAGTCATTTGTTCTCTGACCAGTAATTTAATGAGACAAGATAAAGACAGAAAAATACATGGACAGAAAGGGTGATCTCACTGGAACCCGAATTAAAATCCATTTGGGCTATAATCATTTAAATTTCACCAGATAGTTCTTATCTACAGGAAGTCCTCCCCCCCTCCCCCTAGTTCACATAGGAAGCCCTCTTCAGAGTGACTTGAACATAGCTGGTGCTCAATCAGGGTTTCTATAATTAATATAGATCTTCCAGTGAAGACCTTGGAAGCTGATATTTTTGGATTGGACATTAAAAAGAGAAGCACATCATGCCCAGCAAGTAAGATCCTTAATTATTCTGGAAAGGGGGGGGGGCACTATTTAACTATTTTTATAATTCAGAGGAATGAGAACAACAAGAAAAGGAAAAGATTATTCTAGCAAGGTATGGCAGCCTAGAGAAGGATATCTGGTTTAAACCATCATAGACAAGAACATAATATTACAGAGACTTTGAAAGTGTGAGCTGGACATGGTGGCTTATGCTTATAATCCCAACACATTGGGAGGCCAGAGTGGGAGGATTGCTTGAGTCCAGGAATTGGAGACCAGCATGGGCAATATAGTGAGTACTTATCATGACAGAAAATCAAAAATAAAATTAGCTGGGTATGGTGGTGCATTCATTAGACCGAAGCAGAAGGATTTCTTAGCCCAGCAGGTTGAGGCTGTGGTGAGCCTTGATTGTGGCACTGCATACCAGCCTGGACAACAGAGTGACACCTTGACTCAAAAAAACAAAAACAAAAAACAAAAAAAAGACCAAAAAAATTGAGGAAGTGTGAATATGCTTCTGGAGATGAATGCTGACACATAACTATAAGATCTACCAAAAAATGTTTTGCAAGGTCATTTGTAAAGATAGTCTTCTTACATATTAACTTCTTTTGTAGAATTAAACAATTCCATCGAGGACCTATTCTGCAGTAGCCATTTCAGAAGTTTCATTGGGGGTAGTAGCACATGGTTCATTTTGGCTCTTTCAAGCTTTCTTGTGTGTGAGTCAAACTGTCTGTCCTGGGTAGTCTTGTGGACAAGCAGTTGGTCTCCATTTGCACTGAAAGCCGAATGATAGAAAGTGGACTTCAACCACCAGGAGGGATTTGTTGAAGAAGGAAGGGAACATGTTCCAAATGTAAGAGTTTAAAGGTAGCGGAACTGGTTGTGTGATTATATTCCCTGAAGAGCTTTATGAGTAGCACAAGCCAGTCTTCACTGTAGAATGGTTCTCAAACAGAGTGAATGTTGCCCACAGGCAGCGTCTGGGATAGGTGAGCCCTGGAGCGCTCCCAGTGGTATGATTTGTTTGTTTTGTTGTGGCAGCATCTGGTACATTTCTAAACTGCAGAACTGCATTAGGATGGAAGGAGTTGGTGTTGGTAAAGTCTAGAAATGAGCTAGAGGAGAAAGAATTGGGAGTTGGACAGTACAGTTTTGGAAGTTTAAGGTGTCTTCCTTTCACCTGCTTATCCTATCAGCACGGACACCATATGCAAATACAGTGATTACTTGTAGCATCTTAGATGCCTCAGGTTTAGTCTCTTCTTCAATTCTTTGATATAAAAATAATAAATCCTGCTGAGTTTCAAGGCTATGTGTTTAGTCTCTTCAGTTGTCTGAGCAAGTCTTCATGATCATTGTTTTCATTTATTCCATCTTTCTTGACATGTAATGTTCATAAGTGTTGGCAACCAATGGAGGCCCAAAGAGAGCACTAGCTCTAACCATGTTCTGTGCTGTCATTCAGATGCCTATCCAAAGAGCGAGATGATCTACACTTGGACAAAAGGCCCCGAGAAGTCAGTTGAAGTGCCAAAGGAATCTTCCAGCTTAGTGCAGTATGACTTGATTGGGCAAACTGTATCCAGTGAAACTATCAAATCAATTACGGGTGAGATATTTAATGGTTAAAGCCAGTGTGCTACTTGGTAATAGCCATAGAGTTTTTTTCTGGCTTTTTTTAAACATTGAAATAGCTAGTGTTTCAGGGAAAAAACGAAAATTCTCCAGAAATAGAGTTGATGCATAAGTCACAGCTCAGCATTTTTAAATTTATATTTATAGTCTTTTTTGTTTAAAATAAATTTGGAGTTGGAAAGATGTGAAAAGTGAGTTGGTTTTCTTATTCAAAATGAAAGTCAGTAATCAAATATGTTAAAACTATTTTCAAGAAAATGATGTGGTAGGAAATCTGACCTTGTTTTTTTTTGTTTGTTTCGTTTAGTGCTTTCCCAAAATTTTCTTTGTCTTGCCCAATTTATGGTGCCACCTTCCCCTTTAAAAAAAAGTATATCAAGATCCAAAGCATAATTACAAAGTGCATTAAGAATATACATTAAAGTTGTCACACAAGTAAGTGGGTAGTTATTACTGATGATTCTTGGTGTGTATTTTCTTCTGGAATATGCATGGGAGGAATAACAGGATTTAGCTTTTATCATATTTAGACAAAAAACTCAGCTGATTATAACTTGTTTTAAGACCATTCCTTATATACATATAACACTATAGAAATAAATTTGTTGATAGTTATCTTAGGCCATTTGGGTTCTATAACAAAACACCATCAACTAGGTGGTTTATAAGCAACAAAAATGTGCTTCTCACAGTTCTGGAGACTGGGAAGTCCAAGATAAGTTGTCATCAGATTCAGTGTCAGATGAGGACCTAATTCTGGGCTTATAGATTAGCACCTTCACACTGTGTCCTCACATGGGGTTCCTCAAGGTGTGGGGGGTGCATGCTCACACTGGAACCTCTTTCTTAAGGGTACCTCATTCATGAAGTTTCTACCCTGTGATCCCATCACCCCCAAAGCCAACTTCTTAATATCATTTACACTGTTTCAACATAAGGATTTGCATTTGAGGAATGCAAACATTTAGACTATAGCAATAGTTAAAAGGTGTTCATCAATTACTGTCTGACAGGTACCATTCTAGATTATTTCCATGTATTAATTCAACTTTTTATAATCTCTCCATGAAGTGGAGATTAGTACCATATTCATTTTACACATGAAAAAAATTTAAACACTATATGAATGCCTGAGTCATACAGCTAATAAATGGCAAAACCAAAGTTCAAATGTAAGCACTCTGACTTTGGGGTCCATGCTCTTAAAAGGTCCTGATTGTCAGATCAAAATGTTAGGATTGCATTAGTAAAAATGAAGTTGTAAGATCTGGAACAAAGATATGAAGGTGTAAGATGATGAATTTTGCTTTGTTTGTTTTTGTTTTAAGAAAAAATTGAGGCCAGGCCTGGTGGCTCACACCTGTCATCCCAGTACTTTGGGAGACCAAGGTGAGAGGATCGCCCGAGCCCAGGTGTTCAAGACCAGCCTGGGCAACATGGCAACACCTTGTCTTCACAATAAATTAAAAAATTAAGCCAGGCTCGGTGGCTCAGCCTGTAATCCCGCGCCTTTGGGAGGCTGAGGTGAGTGGATTGCCTGAGCCCGCGGGTTCGAGACCCGCCTGGGCAGCGAGACCTCATCTCTACAATAAATAAAAAAATCAGCCGGGCGTGGTAGTGCATGCCTGTAATTCCAGCTACTTGGAAGGCTGAGGCGGAAGGATCGCTGGAGCCCAGCAGGTCGAGGTTGCGGTGGCCGGGAACGGCCACTGCACTCTAGTCTGGGTGACAGAGTGAGACTCCAACTCAAAAAAATTAGCCCAGTCCAGGTGCTTTGCCTCATGCCTATAATCCCAGCACTTTGGGAGGCCGAGGTGAGAGGATTGTGTGAGCCCACAGGTTCAAGACCAGCCTAGGCAACTTGGTAAGACCTCATCTCTACAATAAATCAAAAAATTAACTGGGCATGGTGGTGTGTGCCTATATTTCCAGCTACTTGGAAGGCTGAGGCAGAAGGATCACCTGAGCCCAGCAGGTCAAGGCTGTGGTGGCCAGGAGCATGGCATTGTACTCTAGCCTGGGCAACAGTGAGACTCTGACTCAAAAAAAAAAGAAAAATATAAAGCAGTGATATGATGGGATGGTGAATCTTAAATAGTCAAACTCTGAAGCAGAGAGTGGAATGGTTGTGGTGAGGGGCTGAGGGAGGGGGAAAACAAGAAGGTCTTAGTCAAAAGGCACAGAATTTCAGTTATACAGGATGAATACATCCTAGACAGCTACTGTACAGCATAGTACCCATAGTGAATGAGTTTATGTCATAGATTGTGGTGACGGTTTCATGGGTATATACTTGTCCCCAAACTCATCAAATATACCCATGAAATATCTCAATAAAGTGGTTAAAAATAAGCATCCATAATATAAAACAAGGGGAATTTATTATGGAGAACCACAATTCATATATAAGTTTTTTTTTTAAAGAGGAATTTAGCTTACTGTCTCTTGTATTAAAACTGCTTTGTATAAATTCACACAGTCTATCTTTGTCATGAAGTCAATGGTACTTCTCCTCTCTTCCAAATTCCCATGACTTTTATCTTTACAACACCTGTCATAGCTGTTGTCATTTTGAGGGACCCTCTTCACATCAATTATGAAACTATGCAGTAGCTTTCTCACAGAGCACTTTGCCTCTCCTCTGTCGAGGAAAAAAATATTTTTGAAATGACATTTATTATTTTCCAGTCTGCCACTGGGATTCAGAACATGCCAGGGAGGACGTGAGGTTTCTGAGCATTGAGCTTCACAGTTTGTGAATAAGTCCACTGCTTCCTAAATAGCTTTTTAAACCTACCCTTTTCAGAAGTAGCAGTAAAAATATTTATCATATTTATCAAGAGCTACAAGAAATTGTGTGTTTTGTTACACTTATTAGCTTTTTAGTTTTTTGTCTAAGTGCCCATGGAACATGTTTGAAATCAGGGATGTTATATGTGCCTTTCTGTTAGATATATGTGTTTGTATTTTTCTTCATATCTGGAACTTTTAGAAAAATACAGCTCTTTCCTAAAACTAAGACAGCCTATCTAAGCTCATATGTGTGTGTATGAAATATACATATGAGTGAAATACATATATATTTGTATCTAATAGTATACTTATTCCTTTCCGAAATTAAACTTTCTCTTTTTGTCTGTATGTGTGTATGTATATGTATTTTGTTTTTCCTGGTAGTGTTTCATAAATGTTAGGTTCAAATTCATTTTTAAAAAAAATGCTGAAAATGAAAGCTAATTCCTTTAGCAATGTTAGACTATCTAAATAGAAAGCACTGCCACTACTTCTAAAAAGTTAAAGCCCAATTTATTAAATTGCTTAATCACTACACGGACTTTTCAAAAGTGTTTTTCTGTGTAATAATGTTCAATGTCATTTTCTTCCTAGTTAGGAAACTGCATACATCCTGATGTTTGTTTTGCTATGCACAGAAGATAATTTCTTTGCTTAAAACAGTGTTTATTAGTCTGAAACATGATTATAAAGCTATTGACTAATTGTCTGCAGAATCAATAACGCATTTTCCTCCTGTTTTCTTGGCAGGTGAATATGTTGTTATGACGGTTTACTTCCACCTCAGACGGAAGATGGGTTATTTTATGATTCAGACCTATATTCCATGCATTATGACAGTTATTCTTTCTCAAGTTTCATTCTGGATAAATAAAGAATCAGTTCCAGCTAGGACTGTATTTGGTAATTGCTATTCATTTCTTGAGTGTTTTTGTTCACATTACATTTTGATCATGATTCATGGGAATAGCCCTTGGATATTTCTAAGAAAATATTAAACAGGAATGTGTCAGGCTGGACTGTATAAAGAATCACACAGGCTTTCATGTTTATCTAGCCAATACAAAGTAACAAGGCTTAACAAGATATGGGCAGTACATCCCTTCCTCTGGGATCATGCATCCGATTTCCCTTGTGGAACCAGGCAGGCAAAAACCAAGTACAAATCTGGATACAATTTTAATTTTGGTGATATTCTTGGGCTCCTCGTATAATGCTGTGTAATTGAATTAAAATTATATCTAGGTGTTAAAATGAAATGCACTGGCAGCTTAAAATAAAACAAATAAAAGTCATGGCTGAATGAATATGAAAGCCTTAGAATAATTTAGCTTTTAATGAAGAGGAACAAAATGCAAATGGTTTAAATGCATTGAATTGGAAGGTATTATGTGCTTAGTTTATAAGCTCATCTATTTACGTCCTTCTTTTCTCTTGAACCAACGTCATTTTTTCTTTTTGTTTTTATAGTGGCTTCAAATATGCAGTGTAGTGGTCTGAACTACATAAAGTCCAGAACATATGAACAGAACATTTTTTATAATTGTCAATGTCTTTTACATGTCAGTCCTCCTTTTAAATAGTAAAATAGTAAGTCCAGAACACGAGTTTAAAATTTTTATAACTGTCAATGTCTCTTACATGTCAGTCATGCTTTTAAATAATTACATTTATTTTAGTTAATCTCTTTCTCTGTTTCTTGTAAGTAACAAAGGCATTAGTGGTGAGATAAGACAGAAAATGATCAGAAGTTTTCTGGAATGTTGGCATAGTCCTCACAAGAGGTGCCAATTTCCATTTTCTATCTGGTGGGATCACAGCCATAGTATAATAGCCTTATCACACAATAGTTAAAGAGATGCTGGTGAGAAGGAACTCGAGAGAGTAGGAATTTTTATTGCTGCCTCCCAAATCCTTTTTGAGAACTGCTATTGAGGGTACTGCAGTATCCTCAATGGACCTGAATACCCCAGTAGGGGTATTTACTCCATAGACAACCACCCTTCTTTTAATCTTAGGTTTATCAAAGAAGGTATTGGAGGAGAAGGAGGAGGAATTAAAAAAAAAAAAAAAGAAGAAGAAGAAGAAGGAAAAAAAATGGTATTGAAATCATACTGGAGAAATTCATGCAGAGGGTCAATGTTGGAGGCAGGGTGGATCTCAGGAAGGCAGTGAGCAGGCATAATGGCATTACTTGATAGAATTATGAGGATTCAGTTAAAGACTAACTGCACATTGAAAGTGTTAATAAATCTTAGCTCTTACATATAGGTGTGAAAATGAAGGAGAGAAAATGACAGATATAAGCTTTGGGTGTCAACAAGTCTAGGTTTAAACCCCAATCTGCTACTTGTTTTCTCCATCCATAAAATTGTGAAATTACATCTCTCTTTTGAAGACTATTGAGAATTTATAGAGTCATGTACAGTACTCAGTACAGGGTACCTAAACCACTAGTAATAATTCATATTAGCTACTTTTACTTTCTACCATACTTCTCTTATGTAGAGAAGATTTATTTTGTTTTGACTTGGATTCCTTGATTTTTGTAAGTTTTTTTTTTTTCCCTAACTTATCTTTCTAGTGTGGACTACCAGGCACTCTGCTAACTTCTTGACATTCATTAGCTCATGTAATTCACACTAATCTTGAGTCTTTACACAGCATGTGTTGCAGCAGCCTGACTGGAAAGGAAGCATCTCCTGTGGCTGAGCACCCCATCAAAGTTTCTTAACTTTTCCTCACTTAAAATATATTACTATTTCAGCATCATCATTAAAATTTTAAAATCCATAAGTTCCTATTAGAATTTACAAATAAAAATCATTTTCGTACATATCATTATATATTTTTTTTCTAAATAGGCTCTTACAAGGTTTCTGGAACAGAAAAGTCTAACCTCTTATAGGTAACTCTGCTAAGTGCAGACTCTAAAGACAGAAAGCATAGGTTCTAACCCCAGGGTCCACCACTTATTAGCTATGAACCTTCAGCAAGTTACTTCTGTGTGTGTCCTCCTGTGTTAAAACAGGGTGAATAGATTTACCTGCCCCACAGGATTGCTGTGAAGATTCTATGAGTTAATTCGGATAAAGCATTTGAGAGAATACCTAGCACATAGTAAATACTATTTAAGTGTTATTCATTAGTATGGTGTTCCATGCTGCCATCTACCTTATTTGAGAGTCACTGCTTTGTACTTTAATGTGAATGTCCTCTGTTGGTTATATTGCTGTGATGGCTTGATGAGCTTTGAATATTTTCTTGATTGCTTACAAACTGGCGGCTCTCATTTTATCTCACTTATTTCCAAATAATAGATATCTCCAGTGGTGTGCGGAGAGTTAGCATTGATCACAGCTGTACTTACCCAACATTTCCTATCCAAATAAGATTTTCTAAGGAAATCAAGTAGTATGTAGTGAGGATACTAGTACTGGTAGTACTGATGATAGACAGATTTGCCATATCCTTATGAGGTCATAACTCAACAAGACAGGCATTGTTGACTTTTTTATATATAAGGAAAATAGCTCAAAATATTAAGAAATTTGTATAAAGGCACATAATTATAAGTGGTGCACCCAAGATATTTTCTGCCAACTTTGAGAAGTCAGCCATTCTGTTTTCACAGGGGAGGGGGGATGTAGCAAATTCCAGAGCTGCTGGGTGAAATTGCATGGATGTGTATTTAAGATACTTTGTGGGTATATTTTTTCATTTGAAATTTGAAATTTGCCCATGTTTTGTGCCCACATGCTAGGATGTTGGTTTCAGTTGATCAGGGAAATATGCCCCCGTGCCAAGATGTTGGTTTCAGTTGATCAGGGAAAATATGGCCACTTGCCAAGATGTTGGTTTCAGTCTTCAAGGATCAAAAATATATCAGAATGATAGACAGTCATTGAGGGTCTTGAATGCTACTTTCTTAGGGAAGTTACGTTTTACATACTTGGGGGGAATTGACAATCTATTTTATATAAGATTTAGGTGAAAATTAACTGTAGGCTAGTTTTTTTTTTCTTGCCTAACTCTTATTTCCCCCTTTACTCATAAGGAGATCATTTGCTGGGTGAGAGATGTCACCAGAGACCAAGCAAAAAGGAAACAAAACAAATCAGTGTAAATATGAAGAGCAGAGTATACTAAAAAATCTCTCCAAAGACCTTCCATCTCCAAAGCTGTGTGCCTCTACGTTTTCTAATTATTCCAGTATAGTAAAACATTAAACACAAGTAAATGCCAGCTGGCACATCTAAATCATTGCCATTTCATTTTCTAGGACTGGCCAGCCAAAAATTCACTCTTGTGTACAGTCTTAGCCTACTCTTACACATCCTCTCCCAGCGTCTGGGCCAGCCAATATGGTGCACATTCAACATGCTAAATGCAGGGACTGGCATCAATACTTGGATATATTAAACAGAAATTATGACTTTGAAATGTTTTCAGGGTAGATGCCGGCTAAGTCATATACCACAGATGCACTGTCTTCCTGGAAGCAGAGGAGGCATGGATCTTATTCTGAAGGATTGATTTCTGATTGCTATTCTATGGGTCTTAATTCAGCCAAATGCTCCACCTAAAACCAGATGTAATAAGTACACCCATGTCGTGGTAGTGCTTTCTTCAAATTTACACACCAAGAGAAAAACCTTTCTCATGCCTAAAGAGAGGGCAGATTTGAAATACTTACCCAATTGTTTATGTGGGCTGCTTTGCTACTTTCGCCAATAGTCATAGAGTGGGGACCATAATATCTAGATAGCTATTCTACACACTTTAAAATAAAGCTGATTTGAAACAGTGAAAGAGAAATGGAAGGTAGCCACGTATCCAGTATTTCTTTGTGTTGATGTCTGCAGCATTTAAGCCACATACCTGGTGATCTATCTTCCGTAACAATCAGAAAGTTAATTTTTGGTTTAATGACTCAGTAATTGTGTTAGTATTCTGCTTACTTGACATTTCATTAATAAGGGAATTTTTTCATATGACAGTGAGAGAAGGTGAAGACTACTACTTTGATCCTCAGGAAAAAAACAATGTTCTATTACAAAAAAAAAAGTTCAAAGTAACAAAGGGAATCCTATGATACTTACATTTAAGTGTCAGTATCCTTTTTGGTTATTGCATTATGATTTCTGTAGAATTTCACGAGTACTGAGTAGTAGTCATATTTATAGTGCACTGTTCACATTTTATTTCCAGGTGCTTTCAGCATAATTTCTTAGAGGAAAAAATACTACTTACATGTTTAAGAAAGTTAGAGAACATTTTTGAATTCTTAATAACCCATTAAACTTAAATTGTTATGAACAAGAAGAAGAATTTTGATTATTTTCAAACTTTGTAGCTAAAATTTTTCAAAGTTATTTTATTATTTGTTCACGTATCTCACAGCCAGCAAGGGAATGGTGTCATTCATCTGAGATTCAAAAGGAAGGCTTAAATGTTCCAAGATCTCTGTTTGAAATGAAGTCCAATAAGTTCACAAAATTGTATTTTCATAGCTGTGTAGATATTTGTATATTTGACTGAATAAACTCATTTTATAATCTATTTTAGATGAATAAAAATGCTAACACTATATGGACATTTTTTAAAAGGGAATATCCACCAAATTCTCAAATGTCTTTCTTTGTATAGTTTATGGAATGTTTTTGAATGGTCTATGGCTCCTATGCAGCATCATCGCTCCAATTTTTTATTTTATTTTTTGATTTGGAGTCTCACTCTGTCACCCAGACTAGAGTGCAGTGAAACGCTCATGGCCACCCCAGCGTTGACCTGCTGGGCTCCGGCGATACTTCTGCGGCAACCTTCCAAGTAACCGGAACTACAAGCATGCACTACCACGCCTGACTAATTTTTTATTCATTGTAGAGACGGGGTCTCGCCTCGACCTCCCAAAGTACTGGGATTATAGGCTAAGCCACCAAACCTGGCCAGTTGCTCCAATTTTTCATGTTCTAAGCACTGAAGATTTAGAAGGAGAGTGGATTTCAGAGAAAACAAGTTGGTGGGGAACTGGAAAAATGAGTTTTTATTTTCTGTGCATTTATATTCTGTGTATTATTATTGCACCTGGCAGTATGTGAAATATTATAGTAAATCTGAAGTGGTATTAGACTTGTCTGTTTTCAAGGAGGCCATGTTCAGTCGAGTTGTGGAAACAAGATGGATACACGTGGGACAGTCAGGGAACACTAGCTGGCAGGATGCAACTAAACATTGAATTTAGGAACCAATATTGTTTTCTTTAAATCAAGTTTTATGATTGTTGCTTTATTGTTGCATGGGGCTCACAATCTCTTTGGTTGAACATATACTATTTGCCTTTCTCCTGGGTTTTGGCATGGACCAGAATATACAGTTTAGATGCCTTCATTATCATTGTAGTCATCATCGTCGTCATCGTCGTCGTCATCATCATCATCATCACCATCATCATCACCATCACCATCATCACCATCATCACCATCATCCCCAGACATGAGGTGTGTTGACTTTAGAAACTTCCTAGGCATTCTATAGAATCAGTTTAAATGGATGTAATAAATCCCCGTAGCGGTTTCCAGTCTTAACCAGATAACAGGGATTAGACAGATTTACATAGATGCAGAAAGGTACACAAGTCCAAATTTCTTCAAATTTGGACATTAACATCCTTATATAGTGTATTGCTCTGTGGTTCCAGTAGCAAGGGGAGTTTTTCTACTGAGAGTGAAAATACCCCTCTGTTCCTGGCTAAAAAGAAATCTTTCCTGGAAGTGATGCTTCAGAAGCTTATTGATAGAAGAGAAGTGTCTTTTTTTTCCCCCACCAAATACTGTCTGGCCGACTGTAAACTGATGGGTGGTTGATGTTCAAATTACTCTGGAAATCTATCTGTCCAGGAATATACTTTTGTTGTTTTGCATAAATTAGGCTTCTACAAAACTAGTATATCTATGATTTTAATTCAACAAATAATATTTAGTTAAAGATAAGAAAGACCTATATATAATTCACACTTTTTCTGGTAGTGATTCTCAATAGCAGTGGGCTGTGCATGTTTTGCATAGAAATAATAGTAAGGTTATTTGTCTCTTTGCTCTTTTTCCCTGAAGGAATAACCACAGTTCTCACCATGACCACGCTGAGCATCAGTGCACGGCACTCTTTGCCCAAAGTGTCCTATGCTACTGCCATGGATTGGTTCATAGCTGTCTGCTTTGCTTTTGTATTTTCGGCCCTTATCGAGTTCGCTGCTGTCAACTATTTCACCAATGTCAAAGTGGAAAAAGCCAAAAAGAAGAAGTCAAAACTCCCTCAGGAAGCTCTGGCTGCTCCTGTGCCAAGAGAGAAGCATCCTGAAGCCCCTCTGCAGGTATTTGACTTAATCTCCTTTCATTTAAGACTTCAGCTTCTTGGTCAGATTTATGCTGTCATAGGAAATACTGAGATCCTGAAAACCCCTATGACAATTTGTAAGTCATTTGAAAATCCAGGAATGTATAAAAGAATCTTTATGAACTTCAAAAACAGTGATTAATTGCTTAAGAATTCGCCAGGCACAGTGTCTCAAGCCTGTAATCCCAGCACTTTGGGAGACTGAGACAGGAGGATCTCTTGAGCCCAGGAGTTCAAGACCAGCCTTGGACAATATAGTGAGAACTTTTTTCCACAAAAATAAAAATAAATTAGCAGTACATGGTGGCAAGTCCCAGGTACTCAGGAGGCTGAGGCAGAAGGATCACTTGAGCCCAGGAAGTTGAGGCTGTAGTTAGCTGTGATTGTACCATTGTACTCCAACCTGGGTGACAAGGTGAGGCCCCAACTCAAAAAAATATACAGCTTAAGAAGTAAGCAACTCTGAATGAGCTAGGTGGATGTGAAACTGGTTGTGTGAAAGTGTCTTTCAGAATTGGAAGTTTTTACAGAAAGGGGCAACATTTCATGGATACTATTAGGAGAAACCTGTGCACATCTTTGAATGGGTTAGAAAGTAGTAGAGTTCATTAGCAAAGCAGCAGTTCTTAGAGCAGCACATTAGCTACCCCAGGGGGCTGGCACCCTTATGTTAAAGAAGAAAATGAAAACGATAAAGAAGAAGACCCATAGTTGTGTTGATGAACATCCAAGACTGGGCATTCTTGACCTAAAAGGATAAATCTAAGAGGATGTGGAAAGCCTAATCAGAGCTAATGTACTTTCCATTTGGCACATCAATGAGACTGTGATTTAAAAAAAATTCAATGTATTGACCAGGTGCTGTGGCTCAAGCCTGTAGTCCCAGCACTCTGGAAGGCCAAGGTGAGGAAATTGCCTGAGCCCACGGGTTTGAGAACAGCCTGGGCAACTAGGGGAGACTTCATTGCTACAACAAATAAAAAAATTAGCTGGATATGGTAGCATGCACCTGTAGTTCCAACTACTTGGAAGGATCGCCTGAGCCTGCTGGGGTGGCCATGAGCATGCCACTGCACTCCAGCCTGAGTGACAGAGTGAGACTCCAACTCAAAAAAGAGAAAAATTCAGTGTATTTTTTCTCATGGAGTCTAATTGTACAAAAATAGCAAGACATTCAAGAAGACAGAAAAGCGAACAGGCGGCCCCCATCTCTCTTTCTTTTTCCTCTTCATCCTCTGTTCCATCTGTCTTTCTCTCTGTACTCAGCTTCTTTCTTGAATCAGCAGACAAATGCCTGTGGTCATTAACACACAGAAAATTGTGTTTGCCACAAATGGTAGCCCCAAACTTCTTTTGTCTGCATGTACCCAAATCAACAGGTATAGAAATCATCAACTTTATTCTCTACAGATGACAGATCAGTCTGTTACTCATTCATTCCTTCAAGAAATATACATTGCTGCCTACTTTTAGGGTCTGGGAATCAATAATGTACCACCCCCCCATTAAATATCCTGCTATATGGAGCTTATACTTATTTGTGTGGGTCAAGGGAGGGGGCAGACGATGATTAAAAACAGGAGTAACAAAACAGGTGATATGTTAGTTGGTGATGGTGCTGTGATTGTGCTGAAGTACTAAAGGGTGCAGGAAGTGATGGAGCAGGGAGAAGAGGATGGGGTTCTGATCTCAGAGAGAAGATGACAGTTGAACAAATCAGGTTAAGTGTCCACCTGGGCAGGGATGAACTGGCCAGGGCCCCCCATGTTGGAAGTCTGCTCCAACAGGACTCTGGGCACTGATCTCTAAGAATGGCATATGAGCAAGTAGGAGCATGAATGTCTTTCCACTAAATAATCTTACATAGTTTATGTTTTTTCCCTACATGAATTCATCTTATCAAGACTTTCAAAATTATCAGAATGCATTTTGCATACTCTTTTCAGTTTAATAAATACTGATTGAGTATTCAGTTTTATTATTTTTTCTATTCCTCTTAGGTAAACATGTACCCTCTTTGCCTATTATTTTAATTTTGCTTTGCTTGTTGTGTTGAGAACTTGTTAGAAGAATTCTATTTATCTTCCAAAGAAATTGAGTCTTGGGCTTATGTATTTATTGGCTTACTTTATTGTTTCTGTGTTCTGATTACTGGTTCATGATTTTATTTTGACTCTACCTTTGTTTAGGTTAACTTTGTTAGTCTTTCTTTAACTTTTTGAGTTTGCTTTTTATACATTTATTCTCATTGATTCTTATTTAATAATAAAGTTTTCTTATTGCAATAAGAATTCTTTTGCAAGCAGCTTTGGCCATAATTTACAACCTTTGATATATATTATCATAATTATCTGCTAAATATTCTGTAATTATGTTGCTGATTTTTTTCTATGAGCTAAGAATTATTTGGAGGTAATATTAAAATTTCCAGGTAGGAGTTTGTTATTTCTTTAACTCCATTGTTAATTTTTTAGTCATATTGCATGTATTCAGAAACATTACCTATACAGACTTAAATCTTACAGATAATTTTATCCTGCCCTTATGCTAAAAGCTTATAAATGTTTGATGGCAATTTGAAAGGAGTTAATTTTTAGTTATTAAGACAATTTTACTTGGAATATTACTTCACTTTTTAAATAAATTTCCTTTTATCTTCTGAATTTTTCAAATATCAAGAAAGATGTAAAAAATTCTTCCACTGATTTTATGAAATTGTGGTAATGTTTTGCATTTAATTTTATACATTTTGATGCTATAGTATTACACACGTAAGGACTCATAACTGATTTGTTTCCATATTAGTATATGCATCTAATCATAAAATAAACTTATGGGTTTCCTCCTATATATCTTTTCCATTGAATTCTATTTAATCTGATTTTAATATGTTTTATCTTATTCTTTCTTAATATTGACTTTCCTATTATATTTTTATTATTAAAGTTTTCCTTATTCTTTATTTGCCCTTGTAATTTGGAAGTTATACGTTATATATTTATATCGCTAGTGGTTAGATTTAAGTATTAAAACAACAAATTTCAACTTGTGATTTTCTAATGATGTTGAAATTATAAAATATATTGACTTTCCCATGAAGCTAGAAACTCCCCCCAATTCCAGGATTGCTCTAGATCCAAAGATTCCTGATTTGCAGACATTCTATCTATCTATCTAAATATACATAGATTTATAAATATAAAGATTTCAGATTTGCAGGCATATTATATATGCATATATGTGTATATATATTCTACTTAGTTTGTGTGGACATATTAATATATAATTTTGTGTATTTATAATGAATTTATGGAGTTTTATATTCAGTTTTTTTGCAAAATTATGAGACTCATTACACTAGTGCTATAGTGGAATTTTATAAATACTTGAAAATACCACTTTATCAAAATAAAAACTATTCTGAGCCAGGCTCAGTGGCTCAGCCCGTAATCCTGCACCTTTGGGAGGCTGAGGTGAGTGAATTGCCTGAGCCCGCGGGTTCGAGACCCGCCTGGCCTGCGAGACCTCATCTCTACA